CCAAACAAATTATTTTAAACATTCTAAAACTTCCATTTTTTTAACAAAAATATTTGTGCATTATCTTTAAAACATTCGTTGAATATTTTGTAAATACCATCGTGGCTGGTAGTAAAGTATGATTTCATTCTAATCATAAACTCTTATAAAAATGAAAAGCAATAATTTTATACTCTGTGTAATCCAGTTCTCGAATTTTTATAAAAAGTAATGAATATTTAAAAAAAAATTTATAATAACATACATACAAAAAATAGTTTTATAATAAAGTCCTTGAGTTTTGTTAAGCACAATTTTTTTCTCTTAACTGTTGCTATTCGTCGTGACTACCGTACGTTAATTTTTATTTAACCGATAAAATATTTTTCGCATATTTTTGACTTAGTAAACTAGTTTGTAATTTTATAATCATACATTGCTACTCTTGAGGCCAACTAAAAAATCATAACATTTTTTTGCTTTTTTGATTATAATGAAGTACCTTGACGTGGTGTGTTTTTTTGTTATTTATATGTAACAAAAATACATGTCGACTGAATATAAAAATAAAAAAAAAAATGAAACCGACCCTCGTCGAATGAATAAAATCAGTCACAGTAGTTTTATCAATCTCGTAAAAAACTTATATATCTTAACAATAAGATCTCGTGAATGTAGAAAATGGAAGTATTCAAGGCGAAGTGATAAATAAGTAAAAGTTGTTTTTTAAAAACAACAACTTCTATCGTAAGGCGAGGTTTTCAATTTTCAATGAACAAGTCATACTAACGAAAAATGTGTTGAGTAATTGTACGATGAATATAGTAAATAAATCTGAGATTAACTCAAAATAAATAAATTTTTTCTGCTTGTAATGAAAAAATATTTATGCTAAAAGTTAGCTTTTTTAGTGCTTCTAGTACACTTATAGAAAAGATAAAATAAAATTAAATAAAAATATTTGAACGAACCAAATACACTCACACGAGGCTTAGTAAATTGAGAGTTTGTAAGCATGTGAAAAACGACTTTGAAGGGATCACGATAACTGGCAAACATGGGAATGCTAGACAATTTTGAGCACCAAACAATACACGTGTTTAATTATTTTATTAAACCCTTTCAGAGATTCATAATGAAGATGAAAAAAATTATACTTATATTTTTAAACAAAACCCTTTCGCATAGAAAAATGATACGTAGTTAGAAATTTTAGCTTGAAGCAAAAAAAAATACATAATGTATTTAAAAACAAATCGTTTATTTAAACGTATATAAAAATATGTTCTAATCACATATATATATTTATATTTTTACTATAAATAGTCAATGGATATGCAAACTTATTTACAATACTTATATGATTAGAAAAATGAAAAATTGTAAATACTATGTACAAAAAAGCATTCGTTGGTATAATCTTTTTGTATAACATTGACGAAAAAAGAATCGGTACCTTTGTCTGAAAAATGATAATATAGCTTTTATAATGGCAAAATGCTCTATACATTATATTTGACAAATACTTGTAATTAAGTTGTATAAAAAACGAAGATATCGGCTAATGAAAAAACTTATTATAGTCATGGGTCATTGCAACATCAAAATTTTCAATATTAACGAAAATGACATTGAATTGTTATACGACACTTAACTTCCAATGAAAGTTGTTGCATACATGAAATACTTTTTAAAGTAAATATCTATTTAGATTGGACATATTTTTAATAATGTTTTCTTGTTGTATAAACATTTTATGAAAATTCAGAATATTGTATAAAATGATTTGATTGTGATATAGACTTAAATTTTGTATACTCAAAAGTATTCTCTTTCTTTTTTAGTTTCGTTTTATTTCCAACCTTTTATAAGACTCAAATGAGATAATGTTATTCTAATACTCGTAATAAATACAACGCAATATCAAATTTTATATTCTTGTAGTAGTTAGTAGAATCTTAAACTATAAAGTAATTAGTCAATTTAGAAAATCAGGAACTATTTTCGAATACTAAACGAAAGTTACAGTGAATCTTTGAAAGGGTCCCGTTATTATTTATTAATAGCATACTTTTTATCTGTATTTTTGGTGTTCAAAACGTATTTAAACTATAAAATGAGACATTACCGTAAACAAAGTGTACAACTATGTTCTTTTTAATTTATTTTGAAAGAAAAAATGTTGTATTAATGTCAAATTTTTACAATGTGTTTTGTAAGTTCTAACCGTAATTCAAATAATTTTAATAAAATTGTTGCGAAAATTTACAAAAGTGAAATGAAAACGACAAATAAAAGTAAAATACCAGCTCAAAAAATGCCAAACTGTGAAGAACGATGAAAAGTTTTCATAATATTGTAGCGAATCAAGCAGCTGGGCAGAATATATAATAGCCTCTTTTCTATGAATATACACTTAGGTAAAGACAACGACACCAATTACAACAAAACACGTTCAAACATGATTGTTTTTTTTAATTCCCTTACTATATTTGAATTTTGATTTTGTGAATCAAATATAGTTTTAAAAATGCCACTGCATTAGCCTGAGATGGAGTGCAAGAAACATTTTTGCAGTTGTTTGCAACTTTTTTGTATTAGTACTTATTAATGATTGAGCTAATGATTCCTTATGTTATCAAAAAAACAAGCAACGCTTTCAAATGAAAGATAGAGAAGAAAAATTCTTCTTCAGAATTAGAATGGATTATTGGAATCTGACAAAAATATCATCTTTCATTTATAAAAATGCTCTATACTACACACTTAGGAACAATTTAACATACAAGAATATTTATGAGTAAGCGTAAATTTTATCGCAAACAAAAAACTCGATATTACATGTATTATATAAATGAAAAAAAATGTTACATTATATTATTATCGTACGAAAAGACGAAAAAGTAATTTGTAAAAGTATGTGTAACTATTACTATTTTTATGAATTTTTGTACATTTTTCTAATTATTTTGTATAATAATCCTTAGTAAAAACAAAAAATGGCATAAAACCGAAAATGTCCCTTTGGCAGTGCTCCTGTCCTGTATTGAATCCTTATCTCTGGTATAATATATAATATGTAATAGAAAAAAAAATATGTAATCCTTTCCGGAACACTACCATAATCTTTTTCTTCTTGCGCCTTTGTATACGTAAAAGAATAATATTTGAAAAATGCTAATGTATATTTATCCTTGTCTACTTTTCCTCTTTTTGTTTCGTAAAAATAAATAATTAAAAATAATTAACGACAAATACTAAATGCAATATTAGTGTGAGCTTTTTTATTCGTAGTTGTGTTTAAATACAGCCAAATAGTTCACATAATATTATGTACACCACGACGACAAACATTATTGTTTTATGAACTTATTCAGCGACATTTTATACTCAAAAAACATTTAGATACTACCGTGTAAATGTGTTAATTTTTGTCAACTTACATCTTGTAAACGTACTTTTATTTTTCTTCTATTATAAAGCAGTATGTATAAAAAATTGTAGCATTAAAATCACTGACTCCTTGATGAGAAATAATTGCTTCAAAACATTTTATCATTTACTCATGACTTATACGATGCCAAAAGTAAAGTCAAAAATTCGTAATAGAATATTGTTTTTCAAAAAAATTTTTCTCAGAAGTGAATCGGAAAAGTTCACACTCTGCTTTTAATCTGAGGTAATAATATATTTGAATTATCAATTATTCAATTTGTATCTTGAAATGCGCGTTAGCTGTTGTACACTTTTACGACGTACGGTAAATTTATATACGTATTCATAAACTTAAACAAAGCATATTACATAAAAAATATTTCTCTAGTAAAAAACGTCGATTGAAAAATCGTTTTCGCATTTTGTATAAAAAAAAAAAACGCTAACTTATATCGATAAATACTTGAAAGCAGTCGATCACCTTATGACTCGCAAGATACGCTTCGTTGTAGTTGTATTTCCCCGCTGATAAAAATAAAAACAAATAAACAAATTGAAAAAAAGCTTTCAACTTTGAACGCGCGCAAGAGCTTCGTCACATTCAAGATCCACTGTTGCAAAAATGTTTTTTGCAACGACGAAAAATGGTTTATCTGATATCCGACGTATGAGAAACAAAAGAAAATACATTCAATATTAGTAGAGCATTCCGTTCTATGGATACTCGTCGTCGGTAAGGAGGAGGAAATGAGAGATCAGCGTGTTTCTATATGCAGCTCGATACGAACAGATAAAATATGAGTGTTATAAAAGTGGATAATGATGATATTATAAATGTATAAAACCAAAAACTTCTCCGTACTTATATGAGTCGTGTTTGTTATCAATTGTAAGAATCACTTTTTTCCTTTTTCTTAAAACAAATTGCTATTAAATAGATCAATTCTTTCATGGAAAATTTTCTCCTGTGTGTTTATGTTATTTTCCTCTCTATCCTCGGATCCTAAAAAAAAGGCAATCTTTTTTTTTCATTCTTTCCCGTCACCAAAGTATAAATTAAGCTTAATTAATATAGCTACCGAAACAACGAGCTGCCACATATATGCATAATTAGTTTTTCATATATCGTGTGAATTTTCTCTCAACAATGAAGATCGTAAGTAAGAAATCAACGGTATACGCGTGGCATATATGGGTGAGCATACACTTTCGTATACATAATTTACGCAACAGGGAACTCGACATGAGCATTCTGCCTGTCAAAATATGCACACTATCTTACTCATTGTTGCGGGGCCCATAGAGAATTTATGAAACCAATGTAACATGAGTTATAATGTAATCAAGGACCGTGTGAATGAAATTTCGAAGCTAGTAACAAAATTAATTTTATTAGTACAATTGTAAATATGACATTAAAAACTTTACTATATTTATAATTTTTAATGAGTCAACTAATACGCATTTGGTGCGATTGCACTAGTAATTGCACCTTCAATATTTACCTATACATTATTTTAAAGGAAAATAACTGAGTATTTAGGTATGTAGTTGAACAAATTTTCTTAAAATTAGAGTGGAGTATGATTGAGTAAATTACGTCTTGTGTTGATTTACTGACGTATAAACTTATGAATTCAATGGCAACCAAACGAAAATAAAAGTCATGCACAAATTCACACTTGTAATCACGTGGCTGGTGATTTTTCCTTCCAAAACAGTAAGTTGATATCGTTGACCTTGTACACAGAGCAATTCTCCATATTATTTCTGAAATAATTGAATTGATGAAAAAAAAAAGAAACAGAATACTTCAAAAAAAAAAAGAAAAGAATAATTATGCGACTTATTGCACTTACAGAAACCTATCTTTAAGCAAAAATGCTCGAGGCTGTACGCGCTTTAGCCTGTCCCCATTGTCGCAGAGTATCCTTGCCATAGAAGTTTTGCGTATTTCCTGCAATTGCTCTGCGGTGAACGCACCTGGTGTGTTTCCATTTTCGTACCAATATCTGTCACCTTTCGAGTTAAAAAAAGAGAGAGAGAGAGAGAGAGAGAGAGAGAGAACAATTATAATTATGATTGACGTTGGTGTCGCGTATCGTACGTAATTTACCTATTCTGGCGTTCCTAAATGTTCGTCCCAAGAGACAAATGAAGGTCGGGCCTAGAACTGATCCGGTGACTGGGGCCTCGGATAGTGCACCCGTGACAAGGTCAATCTCTTGGACTTTTCTGAGAGAAAAATGATGAATTGTAATTAGGTATTATTTTGTTTTTGGATGAAATTGCGCGAATACCTGTAAACGCCTCGAAGACGCTCTATCACGTCGAAAGCAATAGTGCCTTTGAGATCGGCGAAAGTCGAAACTTCCGGCAGACCGCAAAAGGCGCGCCACTGGACGTAAGTCGGCAGGCCGTGATCGCGACCCTGCTGGATCATTTGAGCCGCGTAATCGACCGGCCGTTCCCTCGTCTTGCCGTCGTGAAAGTACCTCTCGACCAGGACCTCGTTCAAGCTGGCCGGCTCGGGTTTTCGCGAGTGACCGGCGGTCGCGCCGGCGATCAATCGATCGATGGCACCGGCCTCGTAGAGCTCCTGGGGAGCGTAGAAAGCCGAGAGCAGCGATCGCTCGCCGGACTTCTTTTCCGATTGGATGTCGACCAAGTCGAGGGTCTTGGGAGTGAGAGAGGCAACGAAGAACAGACCCGCGGACGCGGCCGCGTTGCTGAGCGTCGCGTCGACTCGCGTATCGTAGCCCCGAAAGTGGCCTCGACTCGTCAAGCGCAGATCGTAGCTGTAAAGCAATTTCATCGGGATCGTCGTCGCTCAAAGCTGCAAAGATACGCAATACGCTTCGATTATATACTCACGCATCTACGGAGGCTTCGCCAAGAACCAATGGGAGAAATTCGCTGTAGGTGACGTGCTGCATCTCAGCTATGTTGATTCTGCGAGACTCTTGATACAATCGCTCGTCATCCCAGTGAGGATTCAGTGCTTGCAGATTTTCAGCTATTCTATTGTGTTCCCTATGAGAAAGAGGGGCAAAAAGTCACGAGGCCAGTTATATTTCACTCGATCAGCTTAAATCAATTTCAATTTCAGCTGACATACCTGAGGAACAACAAGTGCATGAGAGCCAAACCAGGATGCTCGTTTATGCGCGAATCGCCACTGAAGAAGCAGGGAAAAGCTCGGCTCTCGATTCGGCAACTGCGCGTGTCGTTGGCCGGCATGGGCAAGCCGCGACGCTGAGTATTGAGAAAGCCACCCCGACCCGATCTCAGCAATCGGGACGTCTCCTCGGAGCTTCCGTAAAGCGGCGACAAGTCCAGGTACGAACTGGCCTGGTTCATCTGCTGCCGCTGGCCGAGTCTGCATCCCTTTGAAATTTGTTTTGGTGTTATAACGTCGAATCATTTACAGCGATGCTTTTTGTCGATAAGATTTACGATAGAGGCGCAGGACGTACCTGGTGAGAGTTGCCGGGATGCGGGGCCGATCGGGCGTACTCCATGCATCCGCCGGTCTCGTGCTCGGCGGCAATCGGCATGCACTCGGGGTGAAATCGCTCGTAGGTGACGTCGCAGCACTTGAGTCGCTCGCCGTTGGGCAGGCCCATGCGGGGCGTGTGCGACAGGTCGTGGGCCAAGAACTCGCCGAACAGAGCCGTCAGGGCCATGAGGGCCGGGTGCTTGAGGTCCGCGCCGCCCGTGTGCATGACGCTGCTGACGAGTCGGGCGCTCGGCATGCCCGGGCTCGGCAGCGAGACCCCGTCCGAGTAGTTGGCCGGCAGAAATCTCGCGTAGGCCTCGAGGGCGGCGCCTCGCGCCGGGTACAGCGGGTTGTTGCAGCGGCCGCTGTGGCTGCGGTACCTCGCGTCGAATTTCCGACACTCGCCGATGAGGCTCAGGTAATCTCCGCTGCACAGGTTCACCTGCAACGTATTCGGGGCTTATTACAGAGATGCTGCTCGATCATTATTCGAAGTCAAAGCGCCCACGGTACCAAGCCAGTGCCGACGGACGGCAGCAGAGTGTTGGCCTCTCTGGGCGTCATTCGCAGAGCCTGGACCAGCATCACGGCCATGGTCTCGCGTCTCAGGGCCTTTTCCGCAAGGTCCAAGGCGTCGGGCGACATCTCGTGGGAGGCGGCCAGAAACCAGGCCGGCGAGTCGCGACTCAGTCGGGTCCTCGTGTCCATGATGTACCTCTCCATGTCGTGGTAGCGCAGCATCGACGCGTTCGTCAGACGCTTCAGGTCTTGCAGCATGCGCGCCGGCAGCAGCGAGCCGCTTATCAAGCTCGACAGCATCGTCAAGCTGCAACACGACGATTCTCCTTAATAACGCACTCGCGGCATTTAACCGAGTCTGTACCTATGTGTTTTTATGTCATAGAATAAAAGCGTACGCCTCGTTTGAGTTAGTGTCAAAGAGAAACGCGAGAAAGAGAAAGAGAATAATTATAAATGACTCGCTGGCTAATCGCTTTTTTACACCGATCGTTGCTGCTGCCGCTGCTGCTTATTTCGTAACGGATCAACGCGGCTCGTGTCTCCGTATATACTTATGGCATAGGTATAATGTAGTCACATGCGATCGTGTGCGGCGCAACATCACGTCTGAATGAAGGCTATGGAGCCTATAGACGCAGGGATGCGCTGCGTCGTGTAGCTCATTCATTCTGCTTCTCGATAATTATGTAATTGCTCGATTGTCGCCGATTACTGCACACTGGCGGCGGCGGCACATTTTTGAAACTGCTGCTTTTGCAGAGCTGCGCATGAAAAATATTGCCGCGTACGACGATGATGCGAGTCACGAGTTTCCAATAGAGCAATCAGCCAAACGTTATATATCCAAGTAGGGGGAGCGAGATTTGTCATTCCCTTCGCTCTCGCGCGGCAACGTTTGCTCTCGCGAGCTGGACGAGAAAAAATGAGCGAGAGAATGCAAGTACGGTTTTACACACACATACAATGAAGCACGATTACGTAAAAGAAAGGAGAGATCGAAACGAGGAAGAGTAAGACTATCTTGTCCTTAGATACGATGCCTTTTGCATGTGTATTATTTGTAGTATATATATACACACACACACATACATATTTATACATGTACAAGCCCGCGCGCGTGTCTGTATAAATTGTAAGGTTTTGTTTGACGTGCGTGCGCATTTATATACGATTTTATACCCGGCATATAAGCGCACTCGGTTGCTTTTAATGGCTTGGAAAGAAGGATTTATGATAGCGGAATAAAGGCAAGGGTATAATACCGAGCTAAGTACGCATTGTTTGCTTTGCCGATTTTTTTCGTCCGAGAGTCTCGATACGCGCAACAGATTTCAATTTTACTATAACGCCGTCCAACTCTATTCATGAATTAATAATGCGCGCGTAATCAAGAGCTTACATCAGCAGCTGTATTTACACCTAATTATCTTGGCGGAGCAACGCGACTACGGATCGGTCGACACTTCCAACTCATCGATAAAGCTTCAATAAAAGAAAAATTTCTCGCTATAATTACACAGCGATCGATCTTTTGTAATTAGTTGGACGATCGCGACTAGCGCCGCTGATTTATGCGATTTTAATTCGCCTCGCGTTTGCGGTCTTAAGGGTACTGCGGTCCCTTATCCGTGACACGGAATCGCGAGAGCGGCCGTATTTGCAATTATTTCTCGGAAAAATTGACGGGATTACTAGTCATCTTGGTGTACAGCCGAGTCGAGCGGTGGAAAATAAAAGTCGAGAAATGGCATCGGCAGCAGCAGTTCTTGAATGAAATCACGATAGCGTCTAGTGTTCACTCGCGTCTGTTATTACGATCTGCTTGTATTGTTGCGAACACCTCTATGGTATGATCGGCGCAATGATTTTTCAATTGTAAGTGTGTTACATGCACTTGTGCGCGCCAGTTACGCTAGTGCACGCTTGCTCCGTTTGTATATACATGCATAGACGCAGCAATGATCGGCACTCACCTTATAAAAATATCGCGTATCTTCGGCATTTTGCAATGTGTTTGTTTCTCTCCAGCAGATGTAAGGAAGATCTGAAAATGCGCACTTTTTGCCCGCGAGTCACGTTACTCGCTTGAAATTAAGTACCAGCCACAAAGTCATTTGGTAAAATTCCAGCTCCTCGTCGCTCAACCAACGAATTCACTTTTTTTTACCTGCCACTCGCGACGTTTGCTCTTGCGTACAAAAAAATCGGTCGGAATCTTTTTCACTCGAGCGAAAAAGGAAAAATAAAAAAAAACGTTCGTAAGTCGTGTTCGGGTGAAAAAGTCGCGTGCGGTATAAGGACGCGCGTGGCGGCGGCAGAGGCGCGCAGTGCCGAGACTGTTTGGCGCGCTTCCGGGCAAAGGTTGTTGCGGCAGCACAACAATAACACAAGGAGCGCGCGCGGACCAGCTCCGCGATCGGTATCGCTTCTATGCACTTTTCGCAACGAAACGCTGAAATAGACTGCACGTACACATAGACGAGAGAGGCTCCACGAGCCACGCGGGGGCCTTCTCTTTGCCGAGCCAATGCCTTATACCATGGACCCCGCGCGCATACGTGTGTGGATGCACCGGATCGGTGGTGGGGCGGCACTCCGAACAGCCTATAGATTAACAGAGACAGAGAGAGAGGTGAGTATAAATGTGTTTGTGTAGCGTAATAAATTTCGGGGCTTTTTCATCTTGTCGACGATTTAATGCTCGGGTCGTTAAGATGCAAAACTATTACAATGGTAACGTGCTTAATCCCCACCGAAGATCGAGCAAATTTTTATTCTACTTACATGGATGTATGCGCATGTCTGTTGGATGACACGAGCGGGATAAATATTATTTTAAACTCCGTGCGCTGCACCAACAGTCAAGATTCCGATCGAGATCAAGGCCCGTCGCCTGCATATCTGTACCTTTGCACCTTCACCTTTATGCCGCAGCGACGATCGCGAGCGCGTCTCCATATACAATACACGACGTACAATAAACCTGTCTATTGTGCCAGTGAACGCTTCATTTGCATTTGTGCAGTCTGGCGCTGATCCATGACTCAAAGTCGCTGTAATAGCCGAAGAATGCATCCAAGACCGAGCACTTTTCCACGGAAAAGCGTAAACGATCGAGAGAGACGAGGCGTGAGATTGTTGTTCCGTTACAAAGACCGCTTCAATTTCCATCATCCCGGAAATTCGCTTACTCCTGAGCGTTGGTGAAAAAAAAACACAACACTCGATTTATCGTGTCAATGAAATCTGCTATTTATTGAATAGAAATTTTTAATTCGCGCGATTCTTCCTTCGACACAATTTATACTTGGCGACGAACAAACGTAAGGCGGCGTGTTGTCATCGTGTCCGTGCAACAAACACGACTTGCAATCTGTGCATAATCAATAAATGTGAACATCACAGAAACCGCGCAACAAATTTTCCAATAGAAATATAAACTCTCATTTCTAATAGAAATGTATAATACAATTCTTTGTATTAATATGCAGGATAGCTCATTTTACTGTGTTAAAAAGTAATTTTATTGTGTAACACGGTAATATTTGCTTTATATATTATGGTAATTTTACACATGGTAATTTATGACAGTAATTTTTTCTGTAGTATTTCCCAGTGCATCGTTATCATCCCACGTGTTGAATCGTCGCATCATCGATATTTATTTTCGTAGACGAACAAAAAAATAGAATTAGATATGCTCTGTCGAGCGGTTGATCGAGCAAGTACAATAGCTTCGAGCAAGAGAAATTTTTCATTGTTCCAGAACGACGAAATTACAGTATATTTTTTTTGCATTTTCAATGCTTGCCGAATCGGCTCGTCTCTATTATACACTCGCACTTACGTGAACAATCATAGTCGTGTTGTACCAGAACGCGTCCTTGGATAAGCGCGACCTACACACACTCGCACACAGCCTCACGTGACGCGGCTCGTTAGAAAGCCTTTGCCATGCTCCGATACAATGGGAAAAATGACCTTTGCTCGTCTGCCGGTAACGTTTGCTAGTCGAATTTCAATCTTCCTCTTGCGGCTCGTCTATAGGCTCTTGCTTCGGTATTTTGGGGTAACACAGCTGCTTGTGCATGAGCAGATTGGAACGCATGATGAATCCTCTGCTGCACATCTCGCATTCATGCAAATTTAATTTGCTGAATTCTCGCATGTGTTTGCAAGGCAGTTGCTTTTTCAAGCTCTGATATTTATTGCATTTTATACATCGAAACTGTAGTTTACTCTTGCAAATCGGACACTTTAGTAGGTCTTTCGTCGTGCGCGGTACTTGACATTTTGGGCAAATACTTCGTATGTATGAATCTGTAAAATCAAGTAATAGGAAAATTCGATATTTACGCCTGCGCTAAATCGAGAGTGATTTACGTTACCTTGCTTGTGCCTTCCCGATATTCTCTGATGTACTTCGTACTTGTGTTTTTTCAACTCCTTACGATTCCTAGCTACGAATGTGCACTGTTTACATTGTACATTTGTAATAACTCGGCAGAGATACAAATGTTTTTCCATTATTTTTTTGTACGCAAATACTTTGTCACATTCCGGACATGCATAAGGCAGATCTTTTTGCTTCACATGTTCCACAATATCATCCATGCTCAAGTAATCTGTTAATGACGAATTCGCAGTTGCATTTGATTCTAATGTTTCTGTGGGAAACAGCGATCGATTCAGAAATCATTTTATATTGTTAAATTCAGAAAATAGAATTAGTTATTTACCATGGGCACTAAAAGTGACATTCGCAGATTGATCAATGACAGATAGATCATCATCACATTCCTCTTTGATTATATTTTCCTCATATTCCGTTATATAATATTTATGACCTTTATTTCTCTTCCTGTGCAAAACGATTAATCCCTTTCTCGGTACGCAATAACCACAATCAGTGCAACGATACTTTTTCGTGTTATAACAATTGCTCAGCATATGATTTTTCATTTCTCGAAGATTGAAAAATAAATTTCCACATTTTCCGCACTGCAGATGTAGAGTTTCTTTACATTTTTCACAACCTTCGAGGTATTTCCAAATATTGTAGGAACTTGTGATTTTGCATCCAGAGCAATATAATTTTTTTGAGCCTAAAAATGATCAAATTATTAAAAATTACCAAATATTTCAAAATATCCACTTTTCTAGAATATCCTACCATCTTTTGAAGATTCAAAATCGTGCCGTTTAACATGATCTAATATTTTTTTTTTACTTATAGATTTTTCGAGGCAATCCGGGCAGTAAAATGTATTTATCTTGCAATCACAGTCCTCAGTTTTTTTATGCTTATTTGGTAATCGGCATTCTTGTATTTCGTACACAAGTTTTAATTTGCACTCGTCGCAATCAGTTTTTTCGCACGAGTCATCCTGTACTTGTGCTATCTTATCACAGTTTACACATAAAAGATGTAGAGGGGTCCTATAAAGGTGTTTTTTATCTAAAAATTAAAAGATCGTCAATCTTCCCAGTATGTTTTAATATTTTTCAATAACCAAACTTACTTAAATCAACGATACTGCTCTCCCAATTTTTAATAACCATGTTCTGAGGTAACTTTTCTACTAGTACTCGTACACTGGCCAGCTGAAGAATCATTTTCCTTACGTTCACCAAGTTTGAAGAAACAGCAGGAATGCTTTGATTCATTTTTAAGTAGACATTAAAATTTTTTGGTTTTAATTTTATAATATATTTAAAATTGTACTTCATACTTTTTACCCTCATTGTTTGCAATAGAGCTTGAACCTTGGTTTTTCATCTCTTCATCTCTTTCATCTCTTTCAGATATCTCGATTCGTTCCATTTCAACTTTACTACATCTTCTTTTTCTTATCATGTTGACAAAAAATTCAAAAATTATTTAGTACTAAATTTTTAAAAATTCAACCATACTCAAAACAATTTTCACTATTTTCGTTGTGGAACGTCTACACTCATTTTATGTTGAGATCAAACTACTCGTTAAGCCAAGCAGAAGTTCAGCATTCTTCACGAATTCCTACAGCTGTGAACACATTTATTTACTTCTGCTTTGTTTACGTAGTTGTCTGTCGTCAGGTTTTTCTCATGAGGCGACACTTAAATTATCCGAAATTCATCGGAGAGCTACTAGTATTGATTATGGAAATGAATTGTATTTATTTTGAATGGCATCGAGTGATTTTTTTGGATAACCACTTCAAATTGCATTAATTTTGATTAAATTCGATTGTACAGACTTTTCATTATACATTATTTTATTTTTATTTACATTTAAAAGAGTGATTGTCGAGATGTAAAGCCGCTTAATACTTCTTTTGTTTTGTTAAGTATACTACTTATTTTTATACTTATTTATAAAAAATTATAATTTTTCAATTAACTAGAATTGAAACATAGTAGCACATGCCTTTGAAATAGCAATTATTTCAAAACACGGGCCATTTGACGCGCCGGAGATTTATCTAAAACTTACTAGTTCACAATTTTTTGGACATTTAGTTTCAAAGAAATATTGTAATTTTATTATTTCCTTTAAGCTATTCAAAATATCTGAGTTCTTTTCTTTTACAAACTTTATATAATTTATTTAATTAATTAAGAATTATAATTAATTAATTTAATCAATACATGAATTTTTTTTAAAAACATAGTTTTTTCAGTTACATGGTTCAAAGAATTTCTTACCTAAAAAATTAAAAGTGCTAATAGATAATGAACATAGAGAATGTTTCCACCCTAACTGATATAAACTTCTTTATTTTATATTTTTCAGCTTTTAATAATTCTAATAGTTATTATTTCAAAATATAAAATCAGGTATATTTTTCATCGTTGTCATATAATCATTTCATTAATTTATATTGAAAGGCAGTAAAGAGGTATACATGGACCAATTTAATTTGTCTTATAAAAATTTAAAATAATGTCCTGACAGAATTTTAATGTCAATAATTGTAAATATTACTTAAGCGCTAAATACTAATTTTCCAGAAGTATCGTAAAAATAGTAATTCTGAAAAGCACATTTCAAAGAATTTTGTGACGAACTTCTATCATAAAACTACGTAAATCACGCTTCTATCTTCGTAATAATGACTATAGAAACATTAATATGAAAAATGTATCGTTTTTTCCCAAACGTTTTTATTTAAATATTAACTGTCCACACTCTAAAACCACTTTGAAAAATTCAAGTTGTGCTGTAAAAACTAAATTATCTCAGAATGAATTCTATGAGTCTAATTTTACCCTTTTGTTTACTTTTTTTAGTATCTATTGAATATTTACACGCTGTAAGTAAAAAGTTTAATTTATTTGTAATATATCCAACAACTTTTTAATTCATTGTTTTTGAAACGCAAGCAACACCGTGTTAGAAGATCACCTAATCCTTATGCATATGCTCTTGCCGAAGCAGAACCAGGGGTAAAGTAACAACAAAAAATTTAAAAAAATTTTAAAAATTAGTTTTGCTTATAAACTTGACGTTTAAATGTTATAGTTAGCCAAATTCACAAAATCATTATGTGACAAATATTTATTAAAAAATATCTCCTCAACTTCTGAGTATTGTGGTGGTATCGCATATAACTTGGCGGATAAAGCAAGAAAAGCATGCAAAACTATTAAGAAAGTTTGCTTCATATTCGCAGGAACAGATTCAGGAAAAACTTGTGAAGTATGTTCAACTAGCGCCACTTTCAAAACTTATTCCGTTGATAAAAATTTTTTACCTTTAATTGCAGAAATACTTTAAAACAATCATTTGTCCTTACTTGAGGGTGGAAAATTCTACTGAAACTGGAGCACCCGAGGTTAGTATAATTTTTCGATTTATATATTAATATTATTAGTTTTTCCAAATTAGTAATAAATTGAATTTATTTAGTCAAAAAAAGTAAATCTGAAAAATTTGAATTAAATATATATGGGTAAATTTTTTGTTTATAATTCAAAGTGTTTCTAATTAAGCTTACTATTTTTTCAGTCTAATGATTCAGAAAGTGAGTCAGATAAAACTGTTGCGGTAAGAATTTTTAAATTGAGCTTTTTTCAATGATAAATTATGAAAATAAACTAAATAGACGAATAATATTTTTAATGTAGGTTAAAGAGGGTGGTTCTTTACTTTCAACGAAAGGTTCGGTGCGTATATTTATTTCATCTCGTATTAAATTAATGTGTAACATTAAATAATTAAAATTAACTTGTTGAACCATTCAGTTACAACGGGATTTGTTCAATGGTTGTGAAGTTGGAATAAGTGTTGTTACAAGCAAACTTAATTTAACAAAATCGGATTTCGGAACAACTAAATTTTGCGACAGTGTGCAAACTGCTACAAAAGATTTGTGTAAAAATTTCAATAAAAATCTTTGTGGGCTTGCATTTAGCGGAAAACTGCATTCATATTGTGTGGTAAAGAATTTGATACATTAACGTTGTAATTTAATTATTTCATTTATAATTTTAAATACATTTTAATTTTTTAGACTGGACTATCTAAAATGATTTGCTAATGAAAAATGTTTCTCAAGCAAATCCTAACAGCACGCCGAAATTCAATCATAAGAGTCTTGAATCATAGCAGTTTGTTGTAGTTTTACTTACATAAATAAAAATTTTTAAAACATTTTTGATCATTCTTTATTATAATTATACATTTCTTGAAAGAAGTTTTTATACAATCGGAAAAAATGACTTTTGTACCTCAAGATTCAAAATAATTTTTATTTATACTTTTAAATCATCTATCATCTGTAACTTATTTGTATGAATGAGTGGTTTTCTTATATGACTAATAAAATCTTAGCTTTTTGGATTCTAAACTATACCTTAACATAAAGTACAACTAATAACCTTTTTATTGTAAATTACTATTTTATTAAAATTGTTTTTTAAAGAAGAATCTATTACGTATAAATGAGCCGTCAACTATTTTCCTTCATTATTCTGTTAATTTAATTTTGATTATGAATGTCATCTCCATCCAAGATAAGTGCAAACAGATATCGAAATCCGGCCTGTATTTTAAAAAATCTAAAATTTTGAGTTTTCCTTTATAAACTCATTCACCATTTACGTAAGGGTAGTCTTTTTTAATTCGATATTCAAGAAAAAATGGCTACTGAGAGCTCTGCTCACGCCTAAAAATTTAATATTGTTATAATTGTCACGCATGCTAAAACGAAGACGAAACTCGTATACTCTAATCCTTATATCATGCGTTTATTTCTTAAAAATTGTTTGTTGGGCCTCATATTATTTACACTACATAATTAATTTTTAAAAAAGGTTGTAAACTTTTATTTGAGTAGATGTAAATTGAAAGTCTAAAAATCTCTTGAAAACCAGTTCAGTCGAGGCAAAGCTCATACCGAGTCTATGGCGATTGCTAAGATGTATGGTTGCATTATATGGGATTATCGCGAAAATTTTTTTAGCGTGTATTTCGCTTGCAATTATGTACAAAAACATCCAAAGATGATCATTCAATGTTGCTAAAATTAGAAACGAAAACTAGAGCGTTGTTTCGAGTATTTTTTTTCAGCTTTGCATTATAAAAAATAGCATTTAAAATGCAAAATAAATAAATCATTGCGATAATTCCAAGTTATGCAACCATACCAGAGACTTGCAATAAGCTTTGCCTCAGTAAGTTCATATTCTTGCCCAAATTGATTGTCTCGAGAATTTTTGTTTTTCAATTTATATTTAATTAAAGAACGGAAAAATCATGAATTCGATTAAAAATACATTTAATTCGTCAGAGTGATTTATTCAGATAAAAGAAAAGTTTGTTATTCTGCTACATATTCAGTAGACATATTCTTTTCAATATTATTTACTGCAGGTGACAGATTTATTATCGCAATGCTATTAATTCAAATAGTGTAACTCAAAATTAAGATAAACATTATAAAATTATTGTGAACGCTTTTATTTTTCATCTTTTATACATCTGCGATCCATTTTGAAACTTTATTAGTTTTTACACAAGTAGTGGACGAGTCCATACTGCAAAAAAAGTATAATATACAAATAAAAATGAGACTTATATGAACGAAAAATACAATGAAAAGTATTTATTTTATATTACCTCGCATGCTTTTCTTCCAATATAACTCTTAACCATACGCGGGCATGCCTCATTATCGACGAATTCAGTACATACTTGTCCAACGTGTTTACTTAATTCTTGGCAAGATGCATTTGCATCGAACGTACCGTCTTCTTTTTGTGCAAGATATTTCGTGGCTTTCTTCAAACATTCAGCTTTCAAGAGTTTATGAACCTGAGAGTCATGCGTTTTTAGAAATTGTTCTTTTAAGTAATCGATTTTTATTACTTACGATAGGTTTTGATCTGAGTTCATTAGTATCCGTATCACCTTCTCCGGAATCTAAGAAGAGATGTTTGCAAAGTCCCTCAGATATATATTTCTAGATTTTCGATGTAAAAGAAAAGATACAAATATCAAAATGGAAAAACAGATATTTAACTACATGCAAAAATTGTAAATTGCTTCTTGCTTACGTGGCAAGCATCTTTGAATATAGGGCAGTGATCTTTAATTTTGTAGCAGGTTTGGTGGAATTGTTTTGTCATGACTTGGCTCAAAGAATCACAATATTCCTCAGGTGTACTGGCATCGTGATTTCCTTTCAAACATGCTTCGTGAACTGTCTCAGCAACCTAAAATAATGATATTATATTGATTAAGCAAAAATCTAAAATAAATCGCTATATTAATGAAAAGACAGGCTTTAAATATACCGAAAACGGATCAGGTTCAGGTTCAGCAAATGCTTGGCTGAATAAGATGGTGACCGAAAGAATGAAAATAGTCTTCATTTTGACACAGTTTGTTAGGAAGTGAGATTGATTGAGTCGAATGTTACTTTTTATGATTTCGGATAGTAATGTTGAAAAGAGAATCAAAAGCTGATGACGGCATCGTTACTCACGATTTTGCTTTAAAATGCATTGAAATAGTTAATGAATCGTGACCTGGTTATACATGTGTTAACTTATACTGTGACGTAAAAATATTGTAAAGATAATATTTTTAAAAATTTTAAATTTTTTTTCGAATTTTAATCAAAAAAATTATTTTATTCATCCTATTTATATCTTTTCTTAATTCAATTCGATATTCTTTCAATGATATGAAACTTACCTATTTGATAAAAAAATGCTTCTTATATTTCAAAATCACTGAGTTGAATAATTATCATAATTTTCAATTGTTTTTGCTATTATTTTTCCGGTACCAAGTATGACGAAAAACTGATGTCATGGTTTGAAAAACGATCGAGAAGACGTTTACACTGTTTTGCAGTGGATTAATTATACGATTAGGCATGTTGAAATAAATAGTCAGGATTGAAAAATTTACGATTTTAAATTGTATTATGCAAAGATGTTGCGAAAAAATATGTTTATTATCTAACTAAATCAAATTTAGAAGATTAAAATCATATCAGGTATTGAATTTCGCCTGTTATGTAATTGACAATTCATCTAAAATTTCAAGAAAGCTAAAAAACCTAAAAATCAATTTTATTTACTAACCACATGAAATCATTTTGTGAGACCTACTATTCTGGGAGATCGTACAGCTAAATTTAAATGTACCTAAGAGAGGAAGACTTTCTATGAAGAGCACCGTTTAGGTTTAATTTGCCAAAAAAGGGTGTTAACAGCACTCACCTCTTAAATTTAATAAGCATGGATCGTGGGAGTAATAGACTATATCAGGAAAATTCTTTCTTTAGGTGGTTCGTCACCAATCATAACAATAGTACAGCGAAGCACGTCTGTCTGTCTTTTTCTCGCCTTAGGCAGACAGCCGCTCGCACTATTCGAAATCAATGATTTTACGCACATTTTGTTTAATTACTCATTAGTTAGTACGGTAAGAAATAATTTTTAACATACCAATCAAAAGGTAGCGACTTGAAGCATAACATATTCGTTTTTGGCAAAGATCTGTTGTTTAATAAAAAAGTTATGGCGTGAAATGTATGAAATTATGATGGCCTTCCATGAAGCCCATGTTAAATTTGCTATTTTCAACGGCTTCGTTTTCAAAAATTAGTACGGTAACCCATGCTGAAATTTCTACAGCATATCAAGGGCACTTTAAATGACATTTCTGCAAAGTTTCATAAACATCTGTTGTCAACCCGTTTTACTGATGAGCCACCTTAATAACTAATTTCCATTGCTTTAATAATTATAAATTATAAAAAATTATTTTAAAAACTCATTTTTCTCGTAGAAGCATTTTTTAAAACTATATTACTTACCTTAGTCACGATTCAATAATGGTCACTTGCAACTTAAAATTATAAAAGTCGGTTTCTGTTCGTCAGCAGAGCTTGATTCTCTGTTTTGTGATACTGTTCGAAATTTTTGATTGATTTACTTGCAACGTCAAAATGAAGATTTTTTTCATTCTTTCGGTTGCCATCTGGTTTAGCCCAGCTAATGCTAAACCTGAACCCAATCCGTTTTCGGTATGTTGAAAGCCTGAAATTTTATTCATTCTGTAGCGTTTATTACTTTTGATAAATCAACAATTTAAAATTATTTTAGATTGCTAAAGTAGTTCATAAATTATGTTTGAAAGGAGATCACGATGCCAGTACACCTGAGGAATATTGTGATACTTTGAGCCAAGCTATGACAAAAAAATTCCACCAAACATGCTACAAAATCAAAGATCACTGCCCCATGTTCAAAGATGCCTGCCATGTAAGCAGTTTTCAAATTTCGCATATACCTAAATATCCATTTTCCGTTCTGATATTATCTGCATTGCATCGAAAATCCAGAAATATATATCCGAGGGACTTTGCAAACGCCTTTTCTTGGAAAAAAATACAGATTCGCAAACAGATAAACCAAAATCAAAACCTTTGGTGAGTAGTTATTGTAAAAAGCAATTTTTGAAAGATTAATGTCAGAAGTTTTCCATGACGTTCAGGGTGAAAAACTCATAAAACGCGTTTGCTTGAAAAGAGCAAAAAAATTTCTGTCAGAGAATGAAGATGACACATTCGACGCAAAGACAGCTTGCGAAGAATTGAGTAAACAAGTTGGACAAATTTGTACTGATTTTGTAGAAACGCAGGCCTGTCCCCGTTTAGCTAATAATTATCTTGGTAAAAGAGTGTGCAAGGTAAATTTAAATTAAATATTTCTTTTTGTATTTTAGGTTTATAAAAGTCTTATTTTTATTTATATTTTGTATTTTTTCACAGTACGGACTTTTACATTACTTATGTAAAATTTAATCTGTTTTGAAGATAATGTTTAAGTATGTATAAAATAAAACATGTATGTAAAAGATAAACTAATTAACGTTTTTTATTGATATATACATTTTATTATTTACTTGGTCGCGCGAGTATTCGGTTCAAATTGTTCGCTTAATCTGCGATCACCTCATCTTAGCAGCCTCTTGGAGCAATCGAGTTGTTTCGCATTGTAACTTTTTTGGACTAGCGAGTACAAGCGAGTAGTTTTCTACCTGCTGCTTTCTAGTATTTAAAATGCATGAATGAATTGATAACACAGGCACACAACAACAATAAAAGTTCATTTCAATCATTTCTTGTACGTGTTGGCTTTCCGATTTCTTTTTTAGAGCTTTTATGCCGCATTTGTGATGCTGGTATTATAAGTGAAGGTGGATAAAGAGGCTTGTCGATCCCAATCGTCATACTTTTCAATAAGTTCGAATAAAGTAAACGAGGAGGTCGTGGCTGCACTCTAAGGTGCTGTTGCTTTGCGGCCTATAGTTTGAAGTCGTCATATGTTTAACCTTGAATATTCACATGACTGATTTAGCCAAGACCGACAGGAAGCTAGTACCATTGTCGGAGAGGATATCTCTCGGTTTGCCGAATTGGCAGATTAAATATTGAGCCAATGCCTCTGCAATTGTGGAACTTTTAGTTTAGGTATGGGAATGGCTATCAAATATTTAGTAAGTATTACACTGCATGGTTAGAAGGGGGCAGTTTCCATCTGGGTTTAACCTAAGCTTGTCTATAGTATTAATAGACACCTTTTCAAGAGCTTCTAAGGGAGTAGCAGTGATTGATATGCGTGATCCACCGATAAAGTCGGATTCCGCCGCTTTTCCATCTTGGCAGACTCTTCCCTCGCCAAATTCAGACCGCCGCCCGTTTGCTGTTTTAGCAGACTTTTGCTCACTAAAATTAGCAGAGAAAAGGGGAGATCTCTCGCCCTTGCGAGAGCCAAGTAAAAGAGAGGCTGTCGCAGCACAATAGCCAGTCGCTCTTGGACTTCCAATCGAGCCACAGCTAGATTCTCTGATGATTAACGCTGCAAATCAAATCGATTTGCATAACGTTGAACAAGCTGCTGCTGCTGCTGATTAAAACCCTGAACAAATCGTCGTTGGAAGACGCAGGCCAAGAAATCAGTGACAGACAACCAGTTCCTCCACTACAAATCAACGCTGTGGCTAATCGACTCCCACTTGCCTTGCAAAGTTGGGAAACTTTTGCGTAAGCGCTCTTCGTCTTCAGACCAACTCTACCCTAAGTATAGTACTTATGACGTAAAGTAAGTAGACGTAACTCATGGTCAGCTATTTTTTATGGTGTTGAAATTTAGTGCAAAAAATCATTTACCAAATTCGGTTACCAATAATTTATTCCAACTCCTCAATACGATGTTTAATAGTCCAGTTTTACCGGAAACAAAATATATCAATGATAAAATATTGAATCCCCGAGATGGCGTAAAACTTTATGCAGTTTGTAAAAATTGTTCAGTTTATATTGGTGAGTTTGGCCAAGAAACGCTACCTGAAGTATGTCATTTATGTGCAAATGAAGCCAATTTAACACAATCTACAGACGAAAGCTTCTTCGCTGTGATTGATCCATCACTACAAATCGGAGATTTGCTGCAGTGTCATGAGGATCACTACGATGATGTTATGAACAGAATACCTAATGATGATCGTATTGAAGATATTTACGATGAAAAAATGTATCGAGAATTTCGTGCGCAACTTCTTTCAGAATCTGAAAAATCCTATATTACGACTTGTTTAAATACTGATGGTGCTCCGAAATTTAAATGCTCGAAAAAATCAATTTGGCCGTTGTATTTAATGATTAACGAGTTACCAAAACAAGCTCGATTAAATAATGTTGTCTGCTCTGGTCTATGGTTTAATAAGAAAAAACCTAATATGAGTGTGTTTCTACAAAAATTTGTTGACATGTTTAATAGCATCACAAGCAATGGTATTTTATGCAATTTGAAAAATAAAGATGTTATAATTAAGCCTTTTATGATAACATGCTGTGTTGGTGCACCAGCGAGAGCAGCAGTGCAGGGAATGAAGCAATTTAATGGTAATTTCGGTTGCAATTGGTGCATTCATAAAAGCCGGAAAGATGGAGCGATGCTTTACCAGATAATGAACGAAGTTCCAAGATTAAGAACCACAACCGAAACTGTCGCTATAATGTTGAATTTTGCAGAGCAATCTGATATTATACTGGGTATTAAATATTCATCTCCATTAATATGCCTTCCGTTTTTCGACATTATAGAAGGTATGATTCCTGACTGTATGCACTGTTGCCTGGAAGGGGTCGCTGCGAGAATGTTAAATTATTTCTTACAAAATACGAGTGACGATAAAATTGAAGAACTTGACGACCAGATAGTAGAAATAGCTCCGCCCAACCAACTGCAACGCTTAACGAGACGCATAAGTGAAAGAAACGATTGGAAAGCTCGTGAATGGGAAAACTTCGTGCTCTACTACAGTATAACTCTTTTAGAACCTATAATTTCTCCGAAAAAATTTAATCACTGGCTATTATTTGTGGAAGCGATGTATATTATTTTACAAGATACCATAAAAATTGAAGACTTAAACCTAGCAAATAAACTTTTTCACACTTTTGTTGCTGATATGGAGGAAAATCACGGGAAAAGAGCTATGCCCTATAATACACACATACTACTGCACATATGTCGTTCGGTTTTCCATTGGGGCCCGGTATGGGCGAATTCTACTTTCTGTTTTGAATCTGCCAATCGGCACATGTTGAACGCCATAAAGTGTGCTCGAGGGGCAAGCCATCAAATTGTGCGATATGTCAATTTGAACCATAATTTATTAGTATTAGAAAACTTCCTGCCACCCGTGGAAAGTGAACACGTATTAAGATATTGTAACGAAGTTCTCGAATCAAAAGTAAAGTATGCCCTCACTAGTCACAATGGTATCACATATTTTGGACGACTTAAGTATGTAAGTAACGAAATGGCAATATCTTTGGGGATTTCAACAAATTCAGTTATATTTTATAAAATGGCTAAAAGCGGCTGCTCATATGAGTCTTTCAAGCCGAAGAAAAAACGGTCAAATAATTCATTTGCACTTTTAGATAATGGAACATACGTGAAAATAGTAAGGTTTCTGTTAGACGAACAAAATAAAATGGAACTTACGCAGTGCCACACCATATCAACAACGAGTTTTTTTTGTTCAAAGTTTTTAAAAATGAGGCAAATAACCGAAATTGCTGAATCAATCATCGCCGTCCCTACGCAATCTATTCTTAAAATTTGTGTGTGTTTGAAAAGCGATCGTAAAAACCAATTAATTTGTGAATTAGCGAATATGTTGCATTATTAAATCTTGTTTTAATACCTTTGTAATACCTTTGTAAATATGTAAAATAAAAATATTTTATAGACATACGTTTATTTATTTGTTTAATATTTTCAAAAAACTATATAATACATGACATTAATTAGGAATATTTTTCTTGTTCAAAGAGCAAAAATACATTTTCATTAATCTATTATAACCTAAAACTTCATCGGCTTCAAGGGGATGCCAGGAACGTTCCAACGTCTGATGTCACACATAATGTCTCTACGACATTATCATCCATTCATGGATCCACGAAGAACATCTACATCACTTAGCGCTTGTGTTTAAACGATTAAAAATTCATCACTTGACATGCAGTCCTGAAAACTTAAAAATAGGATTTATGAGTCTCGAATTCTGGGGCTTTTACGTAACCAGCCACGGAAACAAAGCTAAACCTGAACACTTGAAAAAAATACAATCAACGCCTGTGCCTACAACAATCAAACAACTGCAGTCTTCTATCAGAGCTTGCAATTGGCTTCACAAGTACGTCCAGGGATTCGAACCACTATGGCTTTGTTAACAGACTTGTTTAAAAAACTAACTCTGAAGTCGACCGAGAAAGCACAAAAGACATTTGAAGCGAACAAGAAAAAAACTCATGGGACCCCTGAAACTTAATCGACCGACTCCAAGCCAACAATTTATCCTACAAACTGATGCCAGTGGTTTAGGAATGGGTGCAGTTCTATATCAAGCCAATGAAAACAGAGAAAGAAACATTATTTCCTACGCCAGCGCAAAATTTAGAGCAACTAAAGTCATTACCACTGCTAAGAACAAGAGTATTTAGCGATTATCTGGGAAATTAAAAAATTCTGGAAATATTTAGAAGATAGCCATTCCATCTTGAGGACCGATAGTAAGATGCTTATTTGGCTCGATTGCTTCACGGATACAAGAAACAAACTCCTCAGATAGGCGCTTCTTCTACAAGAATTTAACTATAGAATCTAATACTGACCAGGAAAAGAAAACGAATTACCTGATCTATAAAAAGTAACTATTGTTTACTTGATATATTAATATTTTTACTAACTGTTCGATTGAACGATATAATAACATTTTTTATTATTTCCAGCAAAAATTTAGCCGAGAAAGAAGCAAATGATGAATACTCCGAAGAACAAACAAACTGATACGATTAAATACATTTTTAACATTTTAGATTTACATTCTACATTTAATATTCTAGATTCAGTATTTTAGATTTAACATTCTCGATTTAACCTGCTAGATTTCTTGTTTGAAAAATATTCTGTAAACATTTGTAAAGCATTCTTAATCATTGAAATAAACATTCTTCATATCACTTACATATGCTCAAAAACGTTGTAACTTATTCTACAAACATTTTGAACGCATTTCTTTATCGTTATGGAAATATTTTATAATCGTTTTTTATAAAGGTTTTTAAATATTTTTTAAAAACGTTTGTTATATATTTTTATACTGTGAAATATTTTCACTTATTCAATGCCAGACAAATATTTTAAAAACATAATTATAACAATTCCAAAATATTTAGAGAACATATTTATATAATTTCAAATACTTACATAAATGTACAAATAACATTCTCAAAATATTCCAGAAACATTATTTTTACTTTACAATTGAATTAGAAAATATTTTTTTGAATCGTTCAAAATGTTTATTATATCTTTTATACATTTTTAAATATTTTTCAAGCCTTACATTAGACTACAACAGAGAATAAAATACCATACAAACCAAGAGACAGCGTTTATGGGTGATGCTGAAGCCCCGATTTTGACCGACCGAGCATTATAATTATAAATTCAAATAACCTTTATACTAGGCCAATTTCCTAAAAACGGCTCTGTGGAGCCCTCCGTATTAATGCTGTGAACAACTGTATCAAATTTCATCCCATTTCATTCAACAGTTTTGATTTAGGTTTTCAGACTTAAAAATTTCGATCCCGTTTTCTGGAAAAACTGTTGAATGGAATGGGATGAAATTTGATACAGTTGTTCACAGCATTAATACGGAGGGCTCAACAGAGCCGTTTTTAGGAAATCGGCCTAGCATAAAGGTTATTTGAATTTATAATTATAATGCTCGGTCGGTCAAAATCGGGGCTTTGGCATCACCTTAAGACGCATTATCTCTCCAGCTTGTCCGACAAATTTCACGCCAGATTTGGAATTTAGTGAGATGGACCCTTCAAAATACACCAACAGTTGAATACTGATATCTTCCATAATGGCATTGGTGGATTCCTAAAGATATCTGCGGACGATGGTTTAAAGTATAGGGCTGATTTATTTAATGTTGATGCACTACTTCCACATTTCAAGAGCATCACAAATAATGTTAGCATTTCATTCATTAATGAACATAATATAAAAGCTACTAATGAATTAATACCTCCTGGTCTAAAACCATTCATGGAAACAATGTGCGTTCACCAATATACTTGGTATAAAAGCACGATTGTGAAAGTCAATTCTCTTAGTTGCTTTCAGTGCAGCTCAGATGAAAACTGCTCTCATTTTTTTCAAGGAAAAATTGATTATAATAAAATGCCATATCCAGTTAAAATCAATAGTAAAATCAATCCAAAGAGGTAATATATATTTTGCATTTACTGACATCTTTGTTGATAAAATTATGTTGCATATAATAAATATAACTTTTTAAGATCCAACAAACCAAATGTGTATAATTTGAGTGATGTATTAGATGCAATTTTAAATTTAGAGAAAAATACCGAGCCCAAAGATACTACCAGTATTCCAAATACAAGAATCTCAAAAAGGTAACAAATCACTATAAGTTTCAAATTTTTATGTTTCCCGCACCAAATCTCTTCGTAAATCTCGTTCCCGCTCGAGATCTCTTCCTAAATCTCCTCACTCAAAGTCTGGGCGTAAATCTCATTCCCGCTCGAGTTCTGTTCGTAAATCTCGTTCCCACACAAAATCTGTTGGTAAATCTCGTTCTCGCTGAAGATCTTTACGTGAATCTCTTTCTGGCAGTAAATCGGCTCATGATAAGAATCGTTAGAATCAATCAAGTTCAGATCACCAATCTTTGCCTCGCGATCCTGCATCTGCTTGGGCTCCTCGGAGAAAAGTAGTATTAGAAGAATCATCGAGTGAGGATGGTATGAATATTTCCTTACATTGCCTTTTATCTAGATACCTTTCCTATATTTCCTTTTTATATTTACAGAAGCGGAAATCAAGTTTCAAAATATTTATTTTTAAATGATGTACCATTTCAAACCTAAGCTTTATAAAATGTATGATAAAATCGATGCTTTAAAAGTACCAGGTAATTTTAGATTGCTGTAAGTGATCATTATTTTATTCAACTGAACTATTTATGTATTTCTGCAGCCACTCCAGAGCCGTATGGTCTGTACAAATTGTCAACCAATCAATCAACCATAATTGATTTTAACTCTTATTTCATCAATCACTTACTGCTAGTTTACCTTTTTTTTCAATTTTTGAAAAATGTTTTAAACTCAGATTAAGAACACTCAAAGTATTTCTCATTGAGATAATAAAGGAACTTGATACGTATCCCATAGTTATTTGAGTAGTCTTAAAGTGTAACTCGATGGAACTCAGTAATTACCGTTATCTTCTTAGGGTTCATCTCTACTCCGCACTTGCTAACTATATGCCCTAGAAAACTAATTTACTCATTGTCGTAGACTATCATGTCATCGAGATAGATCAACATTTCAATATTTTGCAGACCCCTTAACACCTTGTCCATGAGATGCTAAAACTTTGATGGAACATTTCGAACTCCCATTTGATAAGTTCGGCGGTGGTTCCGAACCTTAATTTTCAATGGATAACCTGTCGTGGGTTGGTGTTTTTTTGTGTTAGCCCTGAAAAGAGCCAATTGCGTCTCCAACTCGAGCCTCGGATTTCTCCGAGTTAACGACTTGTCCAGCTTCCCAATGATGGATACGGGGTCGGCAAACGATTCACTCTCGAACTAAGCTGGTTTATTTCTCTCGAGTGAGAGAGTTGAAATTTGCAGAACGAGTCCCCTTTTCAAGCTCTGGCAACGACACGTCACTTGTGGAGAGCGACTATTGCGGTTGGGGCCACCTAGCGGCAGAGCGGGAAGCGGGAGTGATGAGAGGGGTAAAGTAAGAGGAAGATTGTTTTGTGGAGAAACGAAGTTAACTTTATAAGAGTGAACTGTTCCTATCCAGTCAACAACTTTGAACAACTCGAGGAGTTGTAAAATCTCTGGAAGTCGGAGAGATGTGTGCGATCTCCGGTAATCCTAATTGATTCGAGAGTGCCATCAAGGGTGCTCACTAGAATAATAGGATCACGGTTCGCAATAAGACGCAAATTAATATTGTATACGTAACATTGTTGTGTATTTGCGTAATTAATTGGTAGAAATACATATTTTAATAAATGAAAATGTTATAACAATGTACAGAATACGTGAGCGTATATTCATAGAATGCATTAGAATACATCAATGCATATAGTTATTTTTATAATTAATTAATGATTTTAATCTAGAGATATTGTTAATTAATCTGTATTGAGTACGAGACAAACGCCTTGAAGAATCCAATGTGACGTATGTTCTCTTGTTCTCAGATCAGCTTCAAATACCAAACCAACTCCCATAGCATTTCGCCGATTTGAAGTTGTATAAACCGGTGTTTTTATCGTATTCTGGAAGAATTTTTACAAATTCAATTTGATACTACAAAATTAATGGTAAAAATACTCACTAAAAGTTTCAATCTATGAGATTCGATTGGTATCACACTTAAAATTGGCAGTTCCTCGATCAAAATCTTCGGTCTTGATCGTTTTAAACAATTTTCGTTAATATCCCAACGGGCTCCCTCTAAATATAAGCCTTCAACGTAACAACCCTGTAAAGTATAATGTTATTAATGACGATGGTAACAACGACGATGAAAAAAAATTTCTAAACCTCCTCAGGACGTTCTTCAACTTCTTCAGCTTTGATATATTGCGAAACTGCCGTGTAAATAACTGAACGATCTAATGGCCAATTATTCTTACGACATGACACTTGCACCAATGCAGCCAAATATGTCTCTGGGCTATGTAGACCCGATAACCACATTACCATTGGCTCGTTGCAACCAGACTAAAAAAAAATGATTTATCGTATGTTCGCAAAAATAGAAAAGAAAAACTTACCCAACTAGTGTATTGAGCGATTCTTCTTTCAAAATGCTCCATCCAACTCGACAAGTTTTTTTTCGTTGCTGGTGCTAACCTCGCCCATTCATTTGGTAGCGTACCATTATAAAGAGAATTAGCTATATTCTCTAAAACTACGTCCATACCTATCTCACCAGCTATTGCCTAAAATGGTATCAATTTTAGAGATATGTAGATGGCTGTGCCTTTTAAAGAAATTTACCTTTCTTAACTGTTGCAAAGTAATAGTCATCTTTCTAATTAATAAATTAAATCGCTCGAGTTCTTGAAATAGCACGATAGTTGTTGGAGATACAGATAGGCCAAAATTTCTTTTAATTTTAGCCATATCGTATTCAACTGGAAGTTTCTCCAAAATTTCCTTAGCTATACTGTCGATAAATTCATCACGACTGATGCCAGAACCTTCAGCAGCTGTGAATCAATAACGTAATGAATTAATTTTTTTTAATTACAATTTTATATACTACTGATGTATTTATTGAAAATAGAGTGCGTTTTTTTGCTACGGTGTGACAACATGTTTACTACTCTATTAAATAAAAAAAAACACTTGACTTACTCATTTTAATTAGGCTAGCTGTGAAAATACGATTAACATGTTAATTCAAAATTAACTCACTCATGAAAAGTACTCATAAATGTAAAGATATTATGGTTTAAAATATTTCAAATCTACTGCCTGTATCTATGAGTGCGTATATTTGTAAGTTATTTTTTTGTATAAACGGATGGTCAAATTGAATTTATCTGACGTTATTCCCCAATGAAAATATTTTGTAAGTTCTTAGGCAAGACTTTAAAAAGATCTTGATAAAATTGAAAGACATCTGGTAGCGAGTTCTTGTATAAGATCATGATAAAATAGTAAAACTTCATCACAATCATGAAATTCATTTTATATAAGAACTTGTTATTTCAAGTCTAGTGATGAAATCAAAAACTCTCCTAAGAATTTGCTACCTGAAGACTTCCAGTTTTATCAAGATCTTATATAAGAACTTGCTACCAAATGTCTTAAAATTTTATTAAGATCTTTTTAAAATCTTGCCTAAGAACTTATAAAATATTTTCATTGGGGTTGGAATGTATTGAACCAAGGTACACACACCATTGGAAACAATCACTTTGATAGTATATTATGATACGTGTGACTTAAGCAGGCCATTATTGCACGGCACGGTTAGCTAGTGCTACTAGTGCCGTGTTAAGAATGGGCTACTTGAGTCATAAGTATCTTACGTTTTTTTATAGCACTGTGCTAAATTCACGTTTAGGCCCCCTTTGGCGAGATATAAGGTGCTCATAACAGCGTCACGGTGCAACAATGAGCAGCTTAAGTCACGGCACAGCGTGCCTTAAACGTGAACTTTAGCCACGCAGTGCTATAAATGTTGTTTCCGTATTATTACAGGTATTATAATAATAAAATGGCTTGTATTATAATTTAACTAGTTTAAAATAAGGGCTTATAGGTACCTTTAAATCGAAAAAATTTTTATTCAATTTTTAGAAAAAATTTTTCTTTCCCTCTTCATTACATTTTTCGTGAGCCTTCCCCGTATACTTGACGTGTTCATTTTTTTCATCTTTTGTGTTTTCTGGCGACTCGTGTTTTTGATCACTTCGTGCAAGATTCAGAGCAAACCCTTTGAGGTTCAGGATCAGGGGCGCATACACTTCTTCAGAACATCAATGGTCACAAACGCAACCTCGAGCGAGATGATTCGACCCATAAGTCACCTTGCATAAACAATTTAGCATCGACAGAAACCTATCGCGTGACCATTGATGTTCTAAAGAAAAATAAAAAAATGAAACACGCACAGTATACGAGAAAGGCTCACAGCAAGTGCTTATCTCAGTGAAAAATCAACTTTTCAGAGTTTTAAACAGTGCAATGACAAGGGAATGCAAAATTCTTTACAAAAATTGAATACAAAATTTTTCGATCTAAAGTTGCCCGTAAGCCCTTAAATGTAATAAATAAAATTTCGTATTAGTATAGAAACTATCCAAGTTATTACATTATAAAACCAAACCTTAAAAAGTAGGCATTATATTAATATGCAAAGAATTTTCTAAAATTTATAAATCGTACCAGTTTGAGGTTGCAACTCTATAAGATGCGCCCACATTTCTTTGGTAGCTTGTGTAAAATATCCGATTTCAGCATTCGGGTGCAATCCAAAAACTTCTGGTGAATTAACCAGAGGCAACTCATCGATGAAACCCATGTAAGAAGCCCTATTGCCAATCGGTGGTAACACGTAGTCAACATGTTCATCGTGATAAAAATGGAATGGTTGAAAAGCATCAAACAAAAAGTCCCCAAAGTATTCGTCCATGTAGACTTTGGAGACTCGACGATCGTAATTGTCAATTACGCGACCACCATACATTACTTCGCCAATTAGATACTTGAGACTTTTCCAAGGTATTCTAGTTTCTTTGAAGGTCAAATTTTTCGTTAGATATGTATCGAGTATAGAAGTACAAACATTGAAGTCGGACTCGTTAAAATCATAGTTGACATTCCAACCGATTTTATCGTATTTTCTTCTTTCCTACATGAACATTAACATCATCCTATAAATCACTGTAAATGTAGTTCGGAATTGTTCAAGGACATAGATAGTTAATTACTTGAACAACTGCATGATAAAATGCGAGCACATAGATCAGATGTTTATATGAAGGATGATCACAACAGGTTAAAACTTGCTCAGCCATTTTGAAGTATGTGCTTTTTAAATTTAATTTCAAACCATTCGGAGGTTCGGTGACAACTTGAAAATTAATTATGGTTAAGGTTTATATGTGCAATATAGTTAATTCATTATTTACCTTTTAATGACTGTTGCAGTATGCCAATTGGAAAATTAGGACTAGGGTCAGTTGTCAACCATAAACGAAAAGTCGGGCTGGGTTTACCAATATTTTCTAATCTCTTTTCTAGTTCCCTTGTGAAACTCAAGAGTAAGTGACAATTTTGCAGCATCAACCAGTGACCATTTTGGACTGCATTTTCCAACAGGTCGATAGCCGACTGCATTAAATGGAGTTGAAAATCAAAATATAATGAGTCAATGAAAAAGAAAAACTTGAATAACATACTTGCTCTTGGCCTTGACCAAGTGACAAATGTCTAAATCTAGGTCCCCCAAAGCCTAATCTTGTAGCTAGTTTGATGAGATCATTTGTGGGATCTGAACCAGGACTAAGGACAAAAACCACTGGCATCGTAGACGTGCTTTGCTCATAAATAGCATCCAAGCCTACCGCAGGTGGTGTTATGAATTCTTCGCCCATAGTGGCACTGATGTAGATGGTAACTGCTCGATAAACTCGATCGATTCGGAAGCATCGAATCAGCATCAATGATTCGAAGGCCGTCAATTTCGCACTGTAGTTACAGGGGAATGGTACCGATTCGGGAACGTCGAGATTGTACCACTCTTTCCACTGGTCTCCTTCGCTCTCTAACTCTTCTGGTAAATTTTCAAACTTTTCAGGAAAGGTGCTCGCTAACTTTAATACATCCTCCCAGCCAGCTACGGACAACCATCCATCAGTGGGATTGACCTTGGCCGATCTTTCCAATGACACGTTCCCTTTGATGAAGAAACTCAGCTGCGCTTGATTTAAGTGATCATTGTCCTGCTCGATGCGGGTGCAAATTTGAAATGAAAAGAGCAACTTGTGTCGTTCAAATATTCCCGTACAGCCGTAAACGTAAACGTTTTTCGTCAACGTTCTGATGACGTTTTTCAAGCGTCTGGATATCGTTGGATGCGGTAAAGCCTTCTTCAACGAAAACACAAACACCTCCAGGTAGCTGTTTAAAGAGTACTGGTACATGGAGTTGACCGTGGCCATGTCTGCGAGCACAAAGAATAAAATGGCCCCGCGTTTGGAAGCTGGTCTGTAATCTTCTCTCAATCGATCGATCTGTTTGGATGTTATCGCAGCTTCGTCCAGCTTAACAAACACTTCCGAAGCACTCGTCTTAGTGTTTTCCAAGGTCTCGATTAGGTCGATGTTATCAAGCATGTTGCCCTTATTTCCAGCGATCTCGCGCAGCAAGCTGTCCTCCAACTCCTTGAGTAATGCTTTCAAAGCCGACGTCTCGTTAATAAGAGCTTCTCGCTGCTCCTCAATGTCGGGTCGCTCGGTTTGTACGACCACGGAAAGCAATTGCTCCTCTAGACCCTGTAGATTTCAACAAACGATCGTTGCAATGATCATGAAAATTTCCATTAAAAAAACTGGCATTTTTGCTACTTACGCTTATTGTCACCATATAATTTATAACTGTGGCTTTGGCATAAATTGCAGGATTCAGGATGGGATTGGAATGTTTCGTCATGAGATAAAGACGAAAGCGTGGATCATAATCCACTTCTTTATCGGCCAACACAACAAAGCTTCTGCCCGAAACAGCTAAAATGTCATTGATTCATATAAACTTGTGATTTTAAACAGTAAGCGTGATGGTTTTCAACGTACTTTGAATATTCTTCATGATGACATTATCCAGAATAGGATCGACGAAATCGACATCTTGGAAAATAATGGTAAAGCCATATTTTACAGCTATTTCGACTTGCTTGATGAAATCAGGATCACTAAAGGTGAGAATTTTCAAATTCGAGTCTTGCTCTCGCTTCTTGATCCATTTCAAAGCTTGCTGCTGAGGATCGATACACAATGGAAATCGTGATGCCCTAACCGTGAGTATGGCGTTTTGTACCGACAACTCATCTGGTGGCAATCCTTCCGAATTCCATCTAAAAATTTGGATATAAGAAAGTAGAAAACTCGATTCAAATCTCATAAAATAAACATAATAATGTACCCGCTGATTTCTACATCATTGCTAAGCTGATTTTCAATTCTAAACGGTTGTGTCAGTGGGATTTCTTTCTCTATGACACTTTTTAACCAATCATTGTACAGCATCTCTGAGCGGAACTCAAAAGTAAAAGGTCCAGTATAGGCTAAAAAGCCGGCAGATAAAAGACAATTTCCAACTATTTCGACAAGCTCTTTTTTCAAATCCACCAATTCGATCTGCCAGCGTTTGTTTTCTGACGACAATCCTCTACGTTGCATGACAATTTGACATTTAAAAAAAATCTGTAATTGTAAATTAAAATGATAAAAAAAAATGTACCCAATAAGTTTATCGGCTGCAATCAAACGTCTTTGAAGCAAGTCCGTTTCCTCTTGCAAACTCTGTCTTTCCGACATGGCCGTCTCGTATTTATCATTGAGATCAAAAAGGGTTTTTTCTATTTTCTGCAATTCACGCATCTCTCTTTCCAAGGCTTTTTTAGCCGCCAGTGATTCTTCTTCCAGAGCCTTGCATCTGTCCATTTTTGGTTTCACCTATGAACAATGAAATTTGATTCTTTTGATCCAAAGCACAATAATTTTGCAATCATACCTCGCGGAAAACTAAGCAATAATCCAGCACGGCAAGTACAAACTTATAAAGTCCATAACCAGCCGTACTTATGGTCTTCATTTGTTCCATCTTGCTTGACTTTTTGAGATGAGCTCTGACCATCTGCTGCTGCTTCAATGTTATCACATCGACGTTCATCTCCTGGAGCGTTCGCAGGAAATTTGGATCAGCCATTATACCTTTGGCACTCTTCCAAGATATTTCTTTGACGCCTTGAAGAATAGCCACGCATTCGCAGATTATTTGCACGGGTTCTGGGGGCGTAGCGAACGATCTGATTTCCGTAATATCAGACTTGTCCAGGTTTGCGAGTGCAGCTTTGGCACCGTCCAAAGCCGGCTGAGCTTCCGCCAGAGCGGCTTTGGCCTCGGATGACTCTTTGGCGATGGTCTTGTTGCGATCTTCGATTTCTTTGCGTTTTTCTTCGCTGAGCGTCTTCTTAGCCACGGCTACCTCGGTATTCTCGCTTATGACGACCAGCATCTTCTCGCAATTTTCTGTCTGATTTTTCACTTTCACTCTCTGTACAGCCAGAATGGCATTGAGCTTGTCCAAATTAGCCGAAGCATCGGCTATTTTGTTGAGACCTCCTGCCAATCTAGAACACTGGCCCTCAATGTAGATTCGTTTTTCCGACAATAAATTTATGTAAATTTCGAGGGCATCGAGGTAGTGCCTTGGTGTTACGTAATTCGGTCGACGTAGTTTCGTCAAAAAGTCACTGGTATACTGATTCACTGTGACATGTACGTAAACTGCGTGTTGAACCACAGCATCCCGATGAGTTTCCGGTATATGTGTGATCTGTGTTAAATAATACACCTCAAAATATCTGCGGCAACAAGTTATTTGTTAATTAACAGCTTACATCTCTGAGCGTGACGCTCGCAACGGCCTGTAGAGCCTGCTCAGGCCAAGGGAATATCCAGTCTATAGTAGTGCAATTGACCAGTCCTGGATAGCTTCGACACCGGTTTCTCAAAGTATCGCCAGAAGGACTCATTGACAGAGCGATTTTCATATTCTCGCTGCTTCTTTTCACAAAAAATGACCATACACTCTCTCTGTGGAAAGAAAAGATTTTCTTGCTAAATAGTAAGCAAAATTACAAGCACATCGTGCATTACTTGGTAACACCGAAGCCGGCTTCTTTCGCCGCATTTCTACAAGAGTTGACGATGGCGTCTTTTTCGTCATCGGCAAAAAGTGACGATATCACACCAGTAGTAAGCATGTTATTGACTATTTCCAAAAAACTTTCGTCGAGCACTTGCTCGTCCGTGAAGAGGAACACAGTCTTCACGTTATTGACCCCGACTATCGTTAAAAGTCTCTAAAAACAAACGGCATTTTTATTAGGGTATTTTCTTAGTCTCTTGGACGAGATATACCTTGACATCATCTCGGAAATCCACTTCACTGTAACCTCGACCAGGTGACAATTCAAAAAGTTCACAATCGGCCGCGAACGATGCCAACTTGATAGTCGATCGACGACCGCTGCCACCGACGCCAATGACTAAGGCGTGACCTCGCTGCATTCGTAAAGTTCGATGAACTCGTGTGAGATGTTCTAAAGCGTCGTTGAATAAGACCATATTCAATTTCGAACGGTTTTCATTGTGTTCTTCGAGAATCTGTTCAACATCAAATTAATTAATGTTTGGGGTAATGAAGTTTGACAGACATTTCAAAAATACCTCCATGAATAAACTGTACACGGCTTCGTAGTCAAGTAAATCTTCGTATAGTCTGACTTCATCTTGGCTGCAGGCATTTCGGAAATCGCCAAATAGCAGAGGATCTCGCAAGCTGTAAGACACGATATCTTCTTCGAGCTCCCAAACCGACTTGACTTTTTCTTCTATTTGTTCATGCACTATTTTCAGATCCTAAAGTGCCAACGAAATTCATTAAGAAGAAAAATCTTATCGCATCAATTATTTACCGTTTTTGAAATGAGTCTGTCACAAAATACACGAGTGAATTCGTTTCTCCAAAGACGGACAAACTGATGCTCCGTTTTAAAGTGATTTGGACTGCTCTGCAACATACCAGCTGTAACTCTTGACAAATCACGCATATTGAAAATGTAATGAAATTTCGATGGAGTTGGTGGCAATTCAGTAATTGTGAGCTTGAAAAATAATTAGAGTTAGATAATCGTCACGAAAATATTTTACAAGTAATATTACTTTATATAAGTCCATTGTAATTTTTATAATGTCTTCGGCAAGATCTTGAATGGATTTTGGGAAAATTTCCAAGTGTCCGGTCAGGATACTTTTGTAAATATACTGCAATGTATCGTCGGCTGGAAATGTAACGTGGTACACGGTAAACATCGATATGAAACGCGGATCTACGTCGTGTCTTCCACCACCAGATTTTCCCATAGCTGCGACGAAATCTGAAAAAAAACAAACAAGCATTCACGATTGTATCTTTCACTTGCCGAAACTATTCAACAAATTTATTCTTACTCATATCTCGGATATTTTTCCAACTCAAATCTTTGCCTCTGTCGTAAAATCCACCTCTCTCGAATAGTAGTTTTAAAAGCGCTATTGGCTGCTGGGTACCGTAAGTATCAACCATTGGCATATTCATGTCATCGATAAAGACGATCAGTTTTTTCCCGGGCGGTGGCCCGAATATATCTTTTGTTCTTTTTTCGACAGCTGACTCAAGATTTCGTTGTACATCCATTGATGTCGTTCTCGATGAGAAATTAATTGGCAAGTAACTCTAAAAATGTATAAAATTAATTTGTGATAAAATAAACACTTTGTCTAAATGACTCACGAATTTGTTGGGATTCAAACGTCTCAAAAAGTCCATGAGAATGGCGCTCTTGGATGTTCCAGTCTCTCCTATAAGTACCAATGGCTTTTCAGCATTAACCATGAGACTGACGTACCAAGTGGCCCTCATTGTGTCGACCGTTGGTACCAAAATCTCACTGAAACTCATGTTTCTGTCGTGGACGTACTTCATAACCAAATACTTCCAAGGTATCCAAGCTCTCTTCTCCACATCCAACAAGTAATCGTACAGTAGTGGATACTTGGTTGGCAGGTAGCGAGTCGTCGCTGGCCTTTCAATGGAATCTTCTACCATCATCAGACCTGACGATTTTTTCATGAACTCGTCGAATTCGCGACGCGACTCCGCCACAATGGCCGCGCCCAACGAGCAGTAAACGGACTGTAGGTATGCGGCTTCGAGAACTTCGTTGCGCTCTTGAACTTTTTCGGCAAATCTATTCTCTTCTTCTTCGGTGTACTCGACATCATTGTCTCGCAAATATTCATCGACCTCCGGTTTTGGATAGAGTATGTCAAATGTTGTACAGAATTGAGAGACCTAACATAATACACGAAGCATATGAAAACTATTATAAACAGATTGCGATATATTCCGTACCATATTCAAAGCCGTTTGGTGGGCTATCAGTTTCAAAGGTTTCACTTGTTGCAGTCCGAGCAAACCGTCTATTATCAATTTTATCCCAGCATCGACATACTTTTCACATAGAAAATTTAATACGCTTCGTTCAGATTCATTACGAGAATTGACCCATTTATCCATGTAAGGTTGAAAACCCAAATTTTTAGGATCGACGTAGACCATACCAGCTCGAGAAACCGTTGCTGGCGAGGCATACTGCAGATCACCAACCTATGAAAACGAATAAAATTGACACGTGAATCTTTTCCGACATTATCAGCAATCGTTGCTCGTCCCACCTCAAATAACAAGTTGCAGTGATCTTGCAATTTTATTCGCTCCTGGTTAGCTAAAGTGAGTATCTTGTTATCGTCCATAACGGAATTCATGTTCTCGATCCAAAGAGCATCGACGTCCCCATCGAATAGTATGTACCTTTTCTCGTTGGGATCCAATAGCAAAGGTTTGTTGACTTCTCGAAAAATGTTGCTGAGCAGACCATCGGTCCAATCTCTGGTCGCGTGATCCAGAACTCCGTATAGTTCGATGACCGTACAAGCTTTGGGATTTAAAATGTAGAGCTTGGTTGGTTTGCCAAGAAGAGTCTGAGCGTCGCAAAGGGCTTGAATGACGACGCTTTTGCCGCCGCCCGTTGGACCAACTATCATCGTCGAGTGCCGAGTCATCATCATTTCATACATCTGTACGACTTTGTCGACCTGCTCCGGAATGACTATGTAGCCTTTGCTTTGGAGGGCTTTTTCAACTGCGTCGTTGAAATCGGGATAACGAACTCTTGGACAATCCAAGCCAGGAAACAAATCTTTAATGAGTCCTAAGAATAGCGGCACGTCGTCAAATATGAATTTTGGCAGATTCATGTCCCTAAGCGCGCGCATCAACACGACGTTTTCCGATAAATTTCCAGACGTTCTCTTCAATTGTCCGGCCATGTTGAGCACGGACTTGAGGGCTCGTAGGCCAAAGTCGTAGTGAGTTTGCTTGCTGAGCTGTTCGCGAGCCAAACTATACAAGACGGTCATCTTTTTGGCTAAGACCTTAGCAGTGAGAAAACCAGCGCTAAAAAGTTTGATCTGACATATCAACTCGTTGTCGGGGACTATGCAGACTACTGGCCGAAACAAAGCCTTGACGGATTCGGGTAGCTCGGTTCGACCGGCATAACCTGGATTCATGGTGATAAATATGCCAACTTTCGAGTCCAGCGCTATCTCCTGGCCTTCAAACTAAAATGGTTTTCATTGAAAACACGTTCAAAGCCGACTCAATTATTTGCACATGTTCATACTCACGACGAATCGAGTGACCTTGTTTTGCAAGCCGGATCTGATGGTTTGCAGCTGAGTCGAAATGACCGACAGCACCGAGACATCGATCCGATTGAATTCGTCGAAGCAGCCCCAGGCACCGCACTGGGCCAAACCTCCGAGCGTCTTTCCAATAGCCACGAAATCCATACCCTCGCCGCAATTGGTAACGACACAGAGCAGACCCAGGGCTTTGGCCAAATCTTTGGTTGTCTCGGTTTTTCCGGTACCCGCGGGACCAGCTGGTGCCCCGCCAAGCTGCATCGACAGGGCTTGGGTGATGGTCAAGTATATTCGGTCGGTCAGAGGAGTGACGACTAGTCGTCCGTTCAGTCCCATGTACTCGTAGCCGTATTCAAACAATCCAGAGCATTGGTGCATCCATAAATTGTCTAAATCGTGAATCCAGTAGAATCTGTCGAATAAAATTAATTACGTTTCCGTTTTATTTCTCTACTTCTTATTTTCAACGATACCTTAATTGACTCTCCCATTCAAATTCCAAAGCATCCATTATACTGTCTCGTACGAAATTTTCTATTATATCTCGAGTATGAACGTCAATCGTCAGTACCGTGTCTAATTTTATTCTATCGTTGTTCGTTAAGGTCTCTCCCCCCATCAAGTTGACAACTTCGTCGAGTTGATTATTAAGCTGCTGAAGATATTCTTTCATGGAATGCTTTTGGCCCATAGTGATCTTTTCGAACACATTTTCAACCTCAGCCGTCCACCATATTTGATTGGCAACTAGGATCATCATGCCTTGAAAATCCAACATCCACTCGACTCTTGGTTTTGTTAACTATGATATAATAATGAAAAAAATCTTTATTACAGCGATTTTTAAATTTTGACTATAAAATTTTACTTTGCCATAATCGAAGACTGATTTTTTTGTCAGATATCTGTTTGACTTTCTCATCTCATCTAAAGCCAAAACTAGCCAATTTTCGATACTGCCTTCGGCTAACACGGGATTTCTGAAATCCATTACTTCGCCTTCCGACGAAATCAGCGCTGTGGCAACGGTTCGATCTTGATTATTAGGTTGTAAGCGGAATTTCGCAAGATTATCGAACATTTTGCCGACGTGCTCCTGAATGACCTCTGGCTCAGAGCTTCCAAGAATACTCAATAATTCATCGTCACTGATGAAACAGAATCGAGGAAACACTGCTCTTTTGCTTTTCAAGTACTCGGACAAAGACTTTTGACATTTTTCCAAAGCCATGGCGAGAGCTATAAATTCTTCTTTGCGATCTAAATTTTCATTGCATAAGAAAATTAATAAACGATGAACTCGTAAAAGTGTTAAATAAAAGATTACCAGGTACAGAGCAACAGGCGAGAATGTTGGGATTTTTTTCGGTTTCGATCATAATATTGCGAAAAGTCGAGTCAACTGCATCAAATCGGGCGGCTTCCTCGGGCAATTGGGACCTGATATCGCCACCGACAAAGATGCCTTCGAGATACATCCATCGATTTTGCAACTCTAACCAAGCCTCGATGACATCTGCAATTGTCCGCATGGCACGCTCCCATTTTTGCACTACTTCCAAAAAAGGTCCAATGAACTGCGATGCTGACATGCTTTGAAGATTCAGCGTGTTATCTTCGAGAATCTGTAAGAGTCTGCATGAAGCTAGTCGTCAAACTTCACGAGATTGCATGATTTACCTGATTTAACTCGTCGAGACTGCCAAGAACGAAACCTCGATCTTCCCCGCCTTTTTCGTGACGCATAAGCTTAAACTTCATGTCTGACCAGACCTTGGCAATTTCCTCGACTCCGCGTTCTATGGCAAGTTCACGACCGGCATTGTTGACGATCGTTTCCGCTATTTCCTGGTAGCGTGCCAAGTCCATCGCAAACATGTTTTCCAAAGTGAACCTGTTGAAGAAATAAGGTTGAAATTCAAAAAGTTGGCTAGATGTTCTAAAACTTAGTCTAAGGCTTAGTAGGTTCTAAAACTACTGCAATCTAGTCTAAACAATGCTACTGAGAATATATAATTCCCTTACCCCTTCATTTTGAATACGAATAACTTAACACAGATTTTTACTCATCTATCTAACAGTTTTCAACTCACTTTTCACAAAGTTCATAGAATCATTTTACTGAAAAGATACATTAGAATATTAATAAGATACTTTAAAATATATCTAACTAATTGAATTTTTCATTTGAATTATTTTCGGGGAGTATTGGCAAGAAATTGTTGAGGGATCAATATTTCAATGAAATGATAAATAACATCACTAACAAAATTATACACAACACTCTAAAGCTATCCACATTCTCTTATAAGCTAAACCGCATCACTATGAAAAAGTCACTACTCATCGCACCTATCGGGCGACATATCGAAATATTTTCCAGTCTTTTCCATTAATTCTTGCCAATGACGCTCTCTCATTGCTTCGTTCTTTAGTTCCACAAACAAAGGCACAGAATTCTTGAAGTTCTTCATGCTGGCCTCTATGGCCAAACCAACCGGCATGTTTCTCATGTGTTTCGGCATCTTCCTGAAATCCTTGAGGAAAGTGTCCATGCCGTCAATAAGTAGCTGTGGATCGAGATCAGCCCAAAGTGTTTTGGCCCAAGCTTCTCGAGCTTCTCGCTGTATCTCGTAGACTTTGAATAGTTCCACCATGTCGTCATAGTCCTTTTTGATTTTTTTGAAGCCAGAGTAATCCGCTGCTGGCAGGTCAAATAGTATTTCGGCTTTGCTGAGATCATCGAGTTTGAGCTCCAATTTGTGGATAATCTTGCTATATTCCTGCATTGAAATAATTAATTGAATATTGGTTGAGAAAACGGGAAATTACAAAGGAATAAATATTATCAAAATTTACATCCATAAGTTCCATGCCCTTGTCCAAATCATCTCCACAACTGCTGGGCCCTTCTAATTCGAATTGATCAACGAACGTTGCAAGGACCACTTTGAAATCGTCGATCTCGCGTCTAGTCATTTCACGGAATTGGTCTTTGGTGCTCTCAAGATTTTTGAATCTATAGAGAGCTGCCGAGTACAAAGTTTGCCACTTTGTTTGCAATTCGTAGGCTAAAATTTCGTGTTGTTCATTGTAATCAATCTTGTGAACTCGTAACACCCTGAAGGTTTCCTAATTAATTTCATTAAATGATTATTATAAAAGACCATCGAATAGAAGCTTAGATAAATTATACTTGGTATCGCAAATAGTCCAGTTCAGCCTGTATAGCCATTTGCCTGACGTCACTGATACGCTGCATCACCAGTTTGAAACGCTCCAAGCCATTGATCGAGAGCTCGATTTCATGGCCGTACTTTTTCATTTTGTCGACAAATTTTTTCATGGCCTGATCGGTTTTCTCTTGGAGCATGTCACCCAGAGTCTGCTTCCAGTCGTTGGCGTGCTCTATTATGCTATCCTTAAGGGGCTTCAAATTTACCATGACGCTGGATATGTTGAAGAAATCGGGCTTTTCATTGATTTCTGTGACAATTTGATCGTAGTAGCAAAACATCTCGTCGAATTGTTGCAGAGTCGGATTAGTGGCGACGAATTTGGTGCACTCCTTAATTTTGTCATTGGTCCAGAGCTCACTTCGTTGTTTCCACTTATTGATGAAGCGTCCGCACTCTTGCGAGATTCGCTGGCTTATCGTTTGCACGTTTACGATGAGCTCATTTATCGACTGCGCAAGATGACATCGATTGGATCGTTTCATATGAAATAAACAACGTTAAAGGAAATACCTTGACGCTCATGACGTCCTCGAAAAAGCTGAAAGTCTCAAATTCCAAAGTGAAGTCGTCTCTAATAGGCGCACACTCGAGACAAGTACCGGCCATCCATCGGGGAAATGCTCGAAGTCGTTCCATAAGATCGTAAATATCCTGCATTATCGAGGCGTATATCTCCGCTGGGCTTGGCTTCAGTACCAGATCCTTTGATATGAGAACGGCGTCGACAGAAAATATCGGCTCGTTCAGCAATAAGAGATTTTTCAAATGCTCAAGGTTCTGCAAGAAGCATGTTATAAAAGCCCCGAATATCTTCTGCTCGAATTTTTCGTAGTACAGCAACATGGCGGGACTCCTTCCATCGTTTGTTCCTTCAACTATAGTTTGTAGTTTTAGCAGCAACGAGCCCATCTTTCTATAAGACTCGATCATTCGATTAATCAGTTCGGTTCTTGTTATCTTGATTTGATCGAAAAAATCCTGCGAAACACTCATTATTAGGCTTGAGCTTTGGCATCCTCGATAAATTGGAAAATATCATTTATACATACTCTGCAGTTTAATATTTCATCTTGTTTTTTGTTTTTGATTGAGAACAAATTGTAACGACTGATATCATCGTCGATGAGGCGCTCCATATTCATTTTTATCAAATCAACTTCCCCAACTAGAGCATTAAGTTTCTTGAGCGAGTTGATGCAGGTGTTAGCGTAATCCTTTATCCGAAGCGAGTACCAGTTTATCCGCGACACACCTGGTTGAATATTTTTTTCTACTTCTTCCAGTGCCTTTTTCAAAAGCAAAATCTGCCAAAGAATCGGAATCATTACTATTAAATTCATATATTACATTCATAGATTTCATTACCGGTGACGGGATATATATACCAATACATACATATTAAATTCAACTTACATATTATAAATGTACTATAGAAACAAAGCATTCTATGGCGAAATACGCCTTAAGGGGGATTAAGTTCGACCAAAAAATCAATTTTTGTTGTTGTTGTATTTTCGAATTGCTTATACTTTCAAGAATTCCTGGCCAAAATTTCGTATGTAAATTCGAATTTAGAAGTTAAAAAAAGAAGACAAATTGATGTTAAGGTAGTGATGACGGGAGACGAAGATAAAGGAATTGAGAAAAGTCAAGAAGAAACAGTGAAGGGAGGCGAGGCGAGGAAAAAATGGAAACAAGAAGCCGTGGATTGAAAAATGAGAAGCTGAGAAGAAACAGAAAACTACCATGAAAAGAAAAGTGAGTCATTTTCTACAAACTCGAAGGACAGGATTATAGGAGGTGGAAATAAAAAATCCATGATGATGATTCAGGTTCAAGTGAAGGAGCTGTATGAGAAGTTGAAGATTTTGACGGAGCAGGTGCAGTACTTGTTGGAGAAGAAGTAAGAAGAGGAGATGCTAAAAGAAGGCTTGGCACGAAGGTGGACAATTTAGGGTATAGGCTAGAGTGCCTAGAAAATAAAGTGGTGTGTATAAAAAAGAAGTTGATTCAGTTTAAAGAAGAGGTGAAAGACTATAAGTAAGTTGTGATGGATTTTTTAAATAAGAAAGAAGAGGAGAGAAGTTTGAGGGGAGCGACTATTCGTACATTCGATTTAGTAATCTAGTTACTTTTTCCTAACACCAAATTTCATTAAACCAACTTCAGAGTGATCCTTAGTCATCTGACCTAAAGTCTGTTACCATCGCATACAAATAATCCGTGGAATAAATCATTTCACGGTGATTTTACGAAGTTTGTTTTTGCTTTTAGCATCATTGAAGGATGTCTTTTTGGCTGCTCGCGTAGCTGTCGGCTGTTACTCTGCTTTTTTAATCCACCAAATTTATTTAATCGTATCGACTAATAATAATTTATCTGTTACTAGTCGAATCGAATAAACACATTTTTTTTCATGAAAAGTTAAATTAACAGCTACTTTTTTGAGTTCTACGATATAAATGTTTTCGCCGCTGGCGGCGCGCGCGCCTGCTGGTTTTTGTATACATAACCACTGTGTAATGTGTATTAGTTATTTACACATCAAGGGCTGTATGCGGTGTGGATACAGTCGAGGTGTTTGCAGCATTGGGGCGCTGTAGTCGCCGAGGCTGCGTAGCGAAGCGATCTCTGCATAATCTGATTTCTGCATAAGAGCACGTTTCGAGGAGATATAAAAAATGCACGCTGCAATAAATGCAGTCCCTTGCTAACTATCGAAACTGAATTGTTTTCAGACTTCAGAATTCAGAATTCAGAATTAGGCTCAGCCACATACGCACAAACACAAACATTTGAATTGAGCCGTCTTTAAAACATTTTCTTAACCGATCATCAATTGCAAATGCAGAAGAACAAGATGAAAAGCCAATGTAAAAAGTTCATTATGACATATCTAACAGTTAATACTTTCTTTGCTACAATAAAGTTCAAATTATTATTTTAAAAAATTGTATTTTTGTATTAAATAAAGTTGTATCTCGCCCAATCCCTTATTTTCACTCAATGAATCATAGAGTTTTTGCGAGCCGAAGGCGAGCTGTATAAATTAAAGTGTTTTTGCGAATCGAAGGCGAGCTGCATCTTAGCAGTAATTTTTAAATAATTTTAAACGACTCAGTATTTAAAAAACGTTAGGTAAAATCAAATCAGCGCAGGCGCTGAGACGAGTACGTGACACATAAGCTGTAGTCAGCAACCCGCTTTACACACTGAAGCCCGAAGTCCTGCCGGCTGCTACTGAAATGTTGCGCTACGCGCGCTCGCGCGGTGTGCGCGTGAACTAGTCCTCGTACTGAAATCATATCATTTCAGTGCGAGGAGAATATTATAGTACGAGGAGGCTGCTATTATAGTGCGAGGAGGCTGCTCGACCGTACGCGAGCGTGTTACCCACGCAGCACGCTCAGCGCGTAATCCGCCTCAAACGGGCGCGTATGCTGAAAATAACTAATTGTGTCAGTGAATCAAGAGTGTTGTCAAAATGTGGACATGGTGGTACGATCGAAAATTCTTCTTTCAACAAAGCGTTATTTTGAACTATTCCTTGTGTTCAAACAAAAATTATAACATATGTTTGTCTCTCGAGCAAGATGTGCATGGAAAAAGAGTTTTTTTTTCTTGTTGGGATAGACAAATTTTTACTTTTTTATGATGATTTACCAAATAAACATTAGTATGAGGTGAGTCAATTATCTTTTTTTATTTCAGACTTACTTATATCTGACAAGCTTATGATGTTTTTTATCTTGCAGATCATCACTGATCAATGTGCTCTGTATTTTGATATTGAATATCCTAGAAATACCGAATACTTCTGTGATAAGTAGAAAGGTGTTTAAATAACATTTCTTAGATATCCATAAAAGTTTTGAACCTTACTTCGATTAAGTTTCTTTTGCATGTTTTATTTTATTGTCTAATGTTCTCAAGTATTTTACTATTTTATGTCATTGACATGTGTAATCCATCAATAAAAAGTTGTTTCGTTTCCAAGCATAAATCATTATTTTCAATAAATATTTATCATCAATATTTCCTTATCCAGTAATATTAAATTATTGTTCTTCATTCATTCATAAACCTCACAATATTTTTTTAAATTGCCAAAAAAAAAATTTTAACGTTTTTAGTGAAAAAAAAATGTTAAAATCCTGCGAAAAGGACTCTCTTTAAATTGTAATCGTTAGTTATTTCGTGTTGCGAAAAACCTCATAAGGTGTCTTAGCTGCTCGTGTTTAGTGTACTGGTGATTGTTTGCCGAATTATTGAAAATGGGGTTAGGTTACGAATAGGCTGCTTGCTTTGACATTAACATTGTAGTTTATGGTTTTTTTTGCGGATAACCGTCTCAATGCTATTTATTAGTATCACTCGTCCAAAAAATTCATGTTCGTTTTATTCCTTAATTTTAACTTAGTCGGACCGCTGGTTTTCGAAAAGTAACTAGAAAAGATGTACGAATAGACGCAGCCCTGTGTTATCATTTATTCACCCACCTCCCACGTATCTTTATATTATAAAGACTAAAATTGCAAAAAGATTCATGTTACTAGAACGAAGTTATAGCCTATCAATATTTTGAAAAAACGCTCTTTTTCATGCTTTGGTGCAATTCCAAAATAATTATTCATCCATCTGATACGAATATATTTATTTTAGGAATTTATTTTTGGGATTATTTTCCATCTCAAAGTTGTCAAGGTATACATTTAAAAATGAATTTACAAAATGTGAAACTTTCATCTTGCCATAAAGCATGCACCAATTTAAACATTATAATCTATGGAAGCAGTTACCGGCTTTACATGCATTCAAATAGACCAAATCCAAATAGACAGTACAAAAGATGTAACAGCAAGAGATCAATGCTCAATAGTAATTAGATATTTGCACAACGATCAACCTTGTGAACGGTTGTTGTGCGTTGGGCAATGCCACGATTCCTCAGGAGAAGGAATTAAAGATCTCGTGATGAATGCACTAGAGTCGAACAAGTATAAACGTGAAAAATTGTATCGGAAGCTCTATCGATGGAGCCTCTAATATGAGAGGAGAGGATAAAGGGTTTCAAGCTTGGCTTGCCGAAGTAATACCCTCATCTGTGCATATGTGGTGCTATGCTCACGTTCTAAATTTAGTTATTTCCGATACAATTAGTATTTCAAACTACTGCACTTCTCTGTTCAGTCTGCTGAATAAAACTACCATATTTTTTAAGGAGTCTTACGTAAGAATGGACGTATGGGAGTCAGTTTTGTCAACTACAGATCGCAGAAGATTGAATTTGATCGGCGAAACAAGGTGGTGGGCTAAAGATGCAGTATTGAAAAAAATTTTTGGTCCCACTGAAAATCAAGAAAAATTGTTGCTTGTAGAGCTTTTAGTAGTTTTCGAAACCATCGAAACCAGTTCGAAAACTAAACCAGATACTCGCTCATGCGCCAAAGCTTATAGAGAAGCTTTTTCAAAATATGTATTCGATCAAACAACGCATTTGTAGAATTACTTGCAAACACATAATTTGTATATTTTAAAAGCATTGAATTTAGTTAAATTAACCACAAAAAATTTGGAGAAAATTCGCGAAGAATTTCCCAAGATAAAAAAACAAGCCGATCAATTCATTGAATGGGCCAACGCAAAATTAGAAGAGCGAGACGCAGAGTCCATAATTCTCAGCAACTTCACAGAAGAAAGAGTGAGAACAAAAAAAAATTTAAGTGGAGAAAAAGCTCGTGATCATATATTTGAGAATGCAGAAGAAAAATATAGAATCAAGACATTCAACAATATAATTGACAATGCGATATCTGCGATGCCTGATTATTATGCGCTTCGTGAGGGCTTGGATGGGGTAGCGTCTTCTTCCAGCCGCATCGTCCGGTCATCCCCTTCTGTCCATTCCTTCATCTCTCAGTCATATCACAACTGAGTGGGCAAAGGAAGCAACAGCGAGCCAGTTCTGCTCGCTCGCGAGCATGAGCCTGGTGGTGTTTTCCGGCGTCATGACCTCGTGGAGCAGGGCCTGTAGCCTCTCTCTTTCTTCGCTGAACCTCGGATAGTGGTAAAATACATGCTCCGCGTTCTCGATGGATGAGGGGCAAACCGGGCATTGCGCGCTATGATTATGGTCGTAGCGTCGGCTATGTTGTTTCAAGAAGCCATGCCTGGTCCAGAGTTGCGTGAGATCTTCGTGACGGCAACGATCATACCGGCTGCCTTTCTCGCTGAATGTTCGGAGGTGATGATCGAACTTCAGCTTAGCGTCGATGTGCAGGGCCAGGTAGCCGATGAAGGGGGA